CAAAATCAAAATTCCTTTTTATAATCTTTTGAAAGAAAATTAAAAGGCACTTTTTCAAAAATTAATATTAATGATGTTTTTCAAAAAAATTCTAAGCTCTTTTTAAGGTTAAAAAGATCTTTTCAAAAAATAATGTCTAAAGATTGTTTTAAAAATTAGAAGTTAGAAGATCTTTTAAGAAAATTTAAAATTTGGTAGACTTTAAAATCTAGAAACCTTTTAACTTTTCAAAAGACTATTCAGAATCAAAATCAATTGAACTTTAAAAGAAATATTATTTTTCAAAGTATAATTTTTAAAACTCCTCTTGTGCTTAAGAAATGTAAATAAAAGAATTTAAAAGTTTTATCAAGCTTTCTGATCATCTGCACAGCCTAGGCAAGTCTTATATATTTACTAGCATGAGTGTCTACTAGAAGGAACATGTTTATCCTAAGAAAAACATAATTTCATAAGCTCGTATATAGTCTTGGGCCATTATAAATCTAAATAATTCATATATATGTAAACTTGTATTTTTCACACTTTTTAAATGACAAAATCACTTTGTCATTTTTTTATATGAAAAATAAAGTGCTTTTAGTGAGAATAAAAGTGATTCCTAAATATGAAAATTATAGATTTAGAAAATTTAATTTAAATTGTTATAAATATAAGTCTTAACCACACATAATAAAATCTTAGAAATAAGGAATAAAAGTACCTAGGATTGAAAATTGTACTTCAAAACCCATAGAATAACTTTGATTCTGACACCAACCAACACCATAGAAAAATTGAAACGGTAAACTTTAGAAAAAAAATTGATTTGACACCATACTAACAAACTTAGGAATCAAATAAATTACTAGTTAAATATTAAACCCCTAGAAATAATTAAAATTAACCAACTCTAATTTTCACAATCGCGCCCTAGGATAACTCTAAATTGTGAACCCTAGGTTAATCAATATAGAAGAAATCCTAAGTCCAAACACATCTTAGAGTAGTTTAGTATAAGAGACCGGGTTAGATTATAAATACCCAAGAGATAAAATTAAGGACTCTGACATCTAAAACAAATGACCTACCCCCTTGTAATATAGGGGAATGAAGTAAACAATGGTGAATGATGAAGATATCCACAACCATTTAATAATAGGATAATCTACCTTAAGTCATTGCTACGACGATAAGGGAGACCTCCTGCTATTTTATAAGTTAATAGTATAAGGATATTAATGTACTCGAGATGATGAAAACCCATGGACATCTTGACTGTGGGTATTATTCCAAAAATTTAGGTTAGTCCATCTATAGTCTTATGGTACATTCAATTTAAGTTAGGGCTTCACCTCCATCTAGAAATCTCTTACCATTTCTACCCCTTAGTCTATGATCTAACTGAGCTCTGCTTTAATCCAAATCAGTCCAAATTAACTCATTCCATTCTCAATCTCAACTTTAATCAAATTATTTCAACGTAATTCAACTAAATTCTAAACTTAACTCAACTCAATCCCAACTCAAATCAATTATAATTGAAATCAACTCTAGTCAATCCAACTCAACCTAGTCTCAATTCTAATTCAACTCAATATCAATTCAAATCATTTTTATGTAATTTCAAACCCAACCCAACTTAACTCAAGCTAAACTCAATTAAAAATAATCTAAGTCCACTTAAAACCTATTACATTCAATCTAACTCAATTATAAACTAAATAAGTTCCAACTATGTACCTTAAATTTGAAATTCAAATTAAGGTTCCATACCAAAATTCTAACTTTTAATTGTTTAGTCCAAACCCAATAAATAAAGAGATTTAAAAAAAAAGTTAAACAAATTTAATAAAAATCTAGTTAACTTCAACCAACTATAATTTTAAATAAAATAATCATAAACTTAATAAACTTAACAAACATTAATAAATTTTAATAAATTTAAATAAACTTTAATGAAACCTTAAGTAAATCTATCTTGATTAAAATTCAACAAAAATCTCAATTAAATTTAAGATATTTTAATAATAACTTAATGAACTTAAAATAAACTTTAAAAAAAATAAATTGACTTAAATAAACTTTAACAAGACTTAATAAACCTTAAAAGTTGTAAGCCAACTTTAAATTCAACAAACCTTAAGTAACTTTAACAACCAACCTTAAAAATTAAATTCAATAAACTTTAAAGAATCTTAACTAACTCCAAAAACAAATAAAAATCCTTAAACTTTAAAATGGACTTTAATAATTTTCAAACAAATTTCAAACTCAACAGATCTAATGGCTCAAACAAATTAATTTTAAAAAGACTTCAAATAATTTTCATTCAGTTGATTTCAAAACTTTCTCAAAATTTTACAACCAACAAAGACAAAATAAAACTTAATTGTTAAACTAAAAATATTCTTAAAAATAAAAATTAATTCAATAAACTCATGTTCCTCAGCTAAAGTGAAATCTTCCAATTCCAAGACAATACTTTTATCTTAGTCTTCGACATGTATCATTTTACACACTTACTAATGACTTAGAAAGATATAAGGTCTAACATTAATCGAGAGTATTCACAAGAGTTAATCCTGAGAAGTAATTAACTATGAGAGAGAATCCTCATAGGGATACCAGATTCTAGAGTAAAATAGATATTATCTTACACCAGTAAGATAAGAAAAGAGAAAAACTCTACTTTTATAAATCTATTACACAGAGATTTTTCTCCTCCGGGAGATTAGATCCATTGAATGGTAATATTTATATCCTTTGAGATAGTATATTATTCTTCAATTGTCATATCTGATCATTAGATAGGAATCTTTCGAAATGTAATCACAACTAAATAAATCATCATTGCTTAAGTGCCACAAACTTAACAATAGAAAAATCATACGAATATAATTATGCAAGGTGAAATAATTTTTCCTTTTGAAAAATAGAGAATGAATCACTTGGGTTTGCCTCATAAAGATGTAGATCAATACTTGCTTATAAGAAATAATTGTTCAACTCTTGAAGGTGCATGCCAATCACAATATAAAAGAGCCCAACTTGATAATAATGTAAATTTGTCATTTTTTCACTTCTATGGGTTGCCTAATAATTAACCTTGAAAATAATGTTCATACTTGAAATATCAATTTTAAAAATATTACAAAAATGAGACACTTTATCTAATAAAGAACACCATCAATTCTCCTTGTCATCTGTAAATATTATTTGGATACTTGCACTAATATTACTACATTTTTAATATATATATATATATATATATATATATATGTAAGGATTGTGATAATTAATTTGTAACACCTAAAATATCAATCATTAAATACAACATAAAGATAAATTCAACAAATTTCATTACAATGATTAAAATTCTAGCTTCAACTGATTATTCATCATGTACCCCATTTTTCTTTGCTATCTTAAGCTCTTCAACTATAGATAAAAATAGTTTTCTTAAGACTAATTAAAGTATAGAAATGTGAGTTTAAACCAGTTTCACCAGCTCATTACAAAGTTGTTTTTTGATTTAAATAAGGACCACTAAGTAAATCTTCAGTTTTATGATACAAGAGAATCTTCTCATATTTAATGGTTTTGAGAGAAACACTCCTACAAAAAGCTTCTACTATATTAAGAATTACTAAACTCAAGAAGAAAATTGACTTGCCAATGATTTTTTGCTACTAAAACTAAACGTAATTGAAGATCAAGAGGAAATGAATGAATATAAAATGCTTGAAGATTATTATAAAGAATGTGCTTTTAAGTCATTAAACTCACATCACATATTGTATGCCTAATCACATGCTTGATCTCATATTATATGCAAGCTTAATGAATATTTTGCTAATTTAGATTCAATGGATGTTTTGACTAAAAAATATTTATTGAGGAAACATGATTAATATCAACAAATATTACAATAACTTGATATATCTTAGCGAAAAAACTAGTTGTTCCTCAATTAATGTATCACGAGACTCATCGACTATAATATAAAAAAAGTCTCAACTGTTGTTGCTACTTGACAAAGTTATTTATGAGGTTTTGGTGAATTCAACTATAACTTTGTACTTGCATTTTCAAATCTCTAATAAAATTTACAAGAAAATGAAGTAATTCTAACAAACTTTATTGATTCATTGATTCAGATGACTCATCATGGCCATGCAACGATAATCCTTGACTTCATAGCAAGAACACTCTATAATTGAAGTTCCATTAAATCATTATAGTTTTATCTTATTTTATTGTGACCACTTTTATGTTCACCAATATGAGCTCAAATATTTTTTCTTTTATTTTTAAATCCTTCACCAACAAATAAATCTCCATCACCTTGACTTCTTCAAGCCTAAATAGATAACAATATAGACAATACTTTGCATCTTTCTATGCACTATACCCTAACCAATTTGGATGCTCATCAAATCATTTTGTGTTAAATCTTCCTGGCAATGTGTTTGGGATAATATTTTGAACTTCAAATGGAACTATACATCTTAATAACTTTCAAAACAATAAATATTCTAATTTTGCAACATATTTATCTAGAAATCCTCCAAAAGTTTCACTTCGTGATTGTTTTGATGATGGGAAAACTTTATTTAATTAAAAAAAGTTTGTTTAATGGCAAAATTAGATGGTAATCCTATAATTATCAAAAAGAGTTTAACATTTCCAATAAAGTATTTTGAATTTACAATTGTCCTGTGGGAAATTAGTTGTATCCCATTTCAGACAACGAAATTAAGAAACGAATTGCAGAGAGGAAAGCAAAAGAACTATGATAAACTCTTGATAAATCCGTTCTAAGAGACCCAATGCAACTACCTGAATCAAGAGACAATGTTAAGCATTTAATGCCCAAAGACCATTGTGGAAAACTAAAAATGACAACCCGTAAAAATAAACTAATTTCAAGCTTTAACTTCAAACCAACATCAATTCATTCCATTTAAAAAAAAAAATACAAACTTTGAACAGTGATCATTTTTGGACAGAAACATAGAAACCAAACATGAAAATACACTCCCCCAAATAAAAAGAAAAATACAACATAAGCGAGCCAGCCAACATATGTGTTACGATTGAACTAAATGGGAATAGCTCTTGCAACACGAGGGTAGACGACATTAACCGGGTGGGACATTATGCGCCGGCCCTTCATGTGCCGGAAAACGTATACGAGAGCACCCACCGGCCATTCCACCAACCCCGCCGCAGCGCACGCCAGGATTCCCACCGTTGGCCCCACCACCTTGCACCGGCACGGATTGCTCCTCGTCCTTATCCCGGTTCCGGTTCCGATTCCGGTTCCGGTTCCGGTATGCGCAGTTTTCCTAAATCCACGAGCCATTTCTCACCGACGTAAATCTCCTTCTGCAGCGGATTCGCAACCTGTAGGTCCAGCCGAACGATTAGAAAACGAAAACTTCCGGTTGTCGTTGGCGAGGTGCAGGTAATTCATATTTAAAGGTACTATTTGTTACACTTGTTGATTTATGGTAGGAAGTTGAGGCCACGGATTGTGGGTTTTTTGACACGTGTAAAATTGATTTAAACACGTAAATTGATTTGTATTTTTATGGTGCTGGAGACGGCCGCTTAAATTATTAACTGTGGATAAATGCTATCATCATTGTTAATTCAATCCCGGGACTTATGAAATGTACTTTCTATTTTGAAAATAATTCTGTTTTTTAAAGGAAATTGAAATGGTGGCCGTTGGACCGTTAAAATATGAGGTAATCAATAGCTGTTATTGTGACATCTACAATTCATATTTATCTCAAATTTGATTAAAAAATAAATTACTGAGATTCAATAATATGATGTTCATTTACGGCAACCCTGTATCATGCGCTAATATTGCATTAATCCTATAAAAGGAAGTCGATTTTGCAATTAGACCAATGAAACAGATTCAATAATATGATGTTCATTTACGGCAACCCTATATCATGTGCTAATATAGCATTAATCCTATAAAAGGAAGTCGATTTTGCAAACAGACCGATGAAACTAGACCAATGAAACTTTTAGTGAAGTTTATTTTGTTATTTGTTTATCTATGTCGTACTGTATTTCTAATTTGTATAATTCTGGTGAACTAATTTAATTTTTATTGGAGTATAAATTAAATTTATATGTAATTTTATTATTATAAATAATGAAAATAAATGGTATAACCATATATTTTGGGCAGAGAAACTACTTCTGCCACTATTAAATACCCTCTCATGTGCAAAATTTACTCACCGAATAAAACTCTTGCCTAAAAAGATGAGGGTTTTCTTCATTATAGAGAACAGAGACACAAGAAGCTGAATCACCAGAGCTATTTGGTGCCCTCAGCTGACTCTAAAGTCATTCCAATTGACAATTGTTGAGGTAATTATTCTGTTTAAGTTCTTTGCTTCCTCTTTCCATTTGCTTGACTAAGTTTATTTGAGGTTTTTTAATGAAAAAATGGAGTTGAAGCTATGATTTAGTTATGCTTTAATTATTGTTCTGTTTCTCCATAATATAGCTCAACCCTAGTCTTTGTCGTATTAGACGAAAATAATCGTCAAAAGTCCATAAACTATTTTTCAAGTCATTTCTAAGATTCTCTTCTTAACTTTTTATTATATAATTCCACCGAAGGAATATTAAAAGTCTCATCACCAGAAAATCGAAAGACTCGAAGCCAATCAGATGCAGGTTGTCCGAAGCAAATATCAAGATGTATCAAGTCGAGTGAATGCATCAACTTAACTCTCACCCCAATATCGCCAACCATCTCATAAGAGCTTTCGAGACTCTTCATCAGGAGGTCGAGAATTTACCATGATGTATTCCATGAAGTCTCAAAGGATCCTATGTCAAGGGGAAAGCTACCTGCCAGATTACGGGATTCACCCCCTGCTTGATAGCTTAGTCTCATCCTGGTGACTGAAGCTCCTCATCTAGGGGTCATAGTCGACATCCAGACTAGAGAAGTTGATTGTTGGACTCAAGCTGAACGAGTAAAGTCTGAACGACCTAAATCATCAAGAACAGATTAATAGAGCTAGGCCGACCGAGTCAAGTATGACCGACTCGAAGACCATCAAAAGCCGACCGACACTCAATGTTGTGCAACCGGATGCATGGGTCTTGCCAAACCAAGGCTTGTCGATCTCAGTCAACATAGTGATAGGGTAGCCAAGACATATATTCATTTATGAAAATTTCTAGAAAAACTCTCTCCAATGCTCTCATTAAAAGTAGGTGCAAACATGTAATTACACACATTGTATCTCCCTCTTCTATAAATTTGGGCAAGATTCTTCAGTAGAGGCTAATAAAAATCTATCTTGCTGTTCACTAATGTCCACACACTCTCTCTCTTTCTTTTTTATACTATACTCCTAGGTTGTGACTCCTGGAAAAATTCAGGTTCAACATCCTAAAAAGTACGATGAGTGTGAATCATGCAAAAAATAAGAAGAAGAGATCCACCAATGAAACACTGCAGGTAATTCGTTCAACAAAAAAAATACAACAATTAAGAGACCGGATGATGGCTCGGATGATGGAAGCTGTCCAATAAGCGGTAGCTTGAGAAAGGGAAAAAAATCCTCGAGAGGAAGGTTTGTTGCCTAACTATTGAAGGATAAATCAGACACCAGAAAGACAAAAACGTTCTTAGTATCAGGACAGTGTTGGGTTGACACCAATGGACAAACAGCAGTTCGAGTGCACTGAGGCCCTTCATTGGAATCTTGTAAATGTCAAACTAATCCGACCAACCATATTGCCTCTTTTGAGCTAACCATCTATTTTTTAAGGATTATTGATGCTATGAAGTGTCTCATGTTTTCATAGGACTAATGGAGTCGACCCTAAGGTTGTTCAATGGACTACCAGCTTGAGTGATCACTTCCTTCACCAACTTTTGATATTCATAGCACAGTTTGCAAGTACCTTAAAGCTCTAGAAGTGTTCATAGGTCTTATTGCAGATCAGGAAAAGAAAACACAAGGGCTCTCTTTCATTTATCACTCAATTCCAAAAGAAAATGTTGGAAGAGTGGGAATTGAAACCCTCAATAACACTTGTCATGCTAGCTCGGGGGCTAAAAGATGGAACCTTCTACTATGCTTTGGGTCCCCAAAAATAAAAAAAAAATTATAACTAAATTATTTGAGTTATCCAATAATCATAATTCTACTGAAAAGTACAACTCTACCCTTGCTTCCACCAGAGCGGAATCAGCCACCCGTCATCTACAGAAGAGGGCTCTTATGGATGACATATGAAGACTGAGGGAAGAATCACATCCTTCCATTTGATTGTGATGCACAAAGATCATCGGTAGTCCTTAGATAACAAAGAGGGAAATAGGAACCATAGTCGAGGAGGTCAAGCTTGATACCCTGACCAAAAGAGAGCTCATTACAATAAAAAATCATTGAATTTTCATGAGACCTCGAAGGCCACTCTGCTGAGAGTCTTAATGGTGGGGCTAGTAGAGAGCATTCAAATAAGGTGTACTTCAAGAAGGCACCTCCGATGAGAGCGAAATCTTTTCTCTGGAACATTAAGAAATAACGTGCTTACCATTGGGACCGTGTCTAAGATACAAAGGAATACCAACACCTTTGAATCTTGATTGACAAGTTGATTAATGTTGGAAAGTTGAACAAATTATAGCTTCTAGATCAACAACCTAGAGGCATGAAAAAGCACCAATAAAAGATATTTTAGATGAACCAGTCAGAGTAAATGATATCCACATTAATCAGATAGTGTCAGTAATTTTCGGAGTTTTAGAGAGCTTAAAAGAAGACACTTCGATTGGAAGAATCACAATATGATTTTTGCATATCAATGTCAGACAAATCCTATGCTAAAACAAAGATAATCTGATGCTAAATTACTTTAACGTCATATTTATATTAGATCTTTGGTCCATGAAAAAGTTGGGGTTACTAATGCAATTAACATCAAAATAGTATAATGCTAATTGTTCGTAGTTTCCTTCATGTCTGACCATGTTGATGTTAAACTGATTAAACACACCCGGTGAGAATACAAATATCAACTACATACTTTGTGTCCACTTTTGATGGACATAAATTTGCTTCATGATTTGCATTGACTAAATCTGCTAAAGATCATATAGCGTAGGAAATTATCAAATTGTAAGAGAAATTATCAAAGTTAATACCTTCAAAACTTTCTGACGCAAATCTGGTACAAAACTATAAATATTTTAGAAATATATAAAAGAATGATCAGTTTTTTAAAACTTGTAGAAAATAATCACCAATCTAATAAATATGTACTTATCCATCAACATAGCACAAAATCTATGCACAAACAAACATCGATAAGAAAAACAAATATAATTCAACAAACATTAAGCTAAATGAGTAAGAGTTCACATCTACGAGGAGAATCCAGTTACAAATTAAAATTAATATGCCCACACAAAAAAAGAAAAAAAAGTAAATATACCTTTATGGACATCATCATCTACAACATCTCCCTCCTCTCTATCCTCCCCCTCATCCTCATCCACGACTATAGAACTCGAGGGCTACTTGCCATGGTGATATGAAATATGCTTCATCATTTGAGCAAAAGAGTATTAAAATCTCGGGTTTCTGTCATGCAACAAACAAGTTCGATCACTAATAGAAGGGCGCACTGAGCAAGGCCTTCTTGCTCTTACAACAAATTTCTAGAACCGCATTGAGGAGTTGACCTGACCCGCAATTACGCCGATATTTTATACTCCAAAAGATTGCCAAAAACATAGCCCAAATTATACTTAGCGGCCAATGTGAATAAAATAATTTATAAAAAAAATAATAAGCCTTCACACTAGCGGTAGTATCAATGATAAGAGAATCGTGTTGAGATATTTGTAAAGGACTCAAACTAAATTTATGCGTAATCTAAATTACAATAGAAAGTAAGAACAAAGTTTAAAATACTAATAAAGTTTAAAAGAGTTCGAATATCAAGAAAATATCTTTTCTCTTGCAAAGAGGCCCTAATTAGTGTATGAATTGAATTAACAAAAATATAAAATGATGTATTATGACAAATATGCGCATACATATTCTTTACCGCCTCTCGGTGCCAGCAAAGAACATTAGTTAACCTTAGGTTTTTTTTCAGCTTGTGCAATAGTGCTGAGAAAATTCTAGTCTTCTACTTCTAGATTACCCACTGTGCTCTCTCTATAAACCTACTAGGGACTCTTAGATCCAAATTCAAGAGAGAACTGATGAAAGAATCTAGTTTGTCACCCTAGAAACATCAATTCCACGCAAATCAAAACTTATCTCGCAATCTATTTGCACTTCCCCTTGGACGATTGTGATGACTTTATCCAAGGTTAAGTGTGGTACTCATTAGTTGAGTGAAATCATAGCCCTCCCGGGTCATTTTGTTTTGCAACAAATTTTA